CAAAGAAGGTCTCCTTATATCCATTGGGAATAAATCGGCACGAAGCTTCCTACCATCACAGGAGGGCCAAAAAATCTCTGTTTTCTTGATGTTCAACTCAAGACCCAAGCCTAGACCATTCAACCGAATAATGTTCAACACTCTAGCCACCTCCTCTGAATCCCCAGTGACAGTCCCATCATCTAGATACCAAGCATGGAGAATGAGCTTACAATTGTCTCTAATCTTGTGCACAAGCGGGTGCAAAACGAGGGCAAAAAGAAGAGGATCCAAGGGGTCGCCTTACTGCACCCCAGTGGCAGACCATATATGTTGATCTCCGATATAAAGTCTCATTGCTTGCCCGTACAAGAAATTCACCCACAAAGAAATAGAAGGGCACGTCTTCTTAACCTCGTGGAGCAATGCTGATCTATCCACCAGGTTAAAGGCATTCGAGAAATCCATTATCAGCATTACAAGAGACCCATCAGCATGGTGTTCACTCAACACCCTATTGGCACTGTGTAACACAGCCTCAGCACCCCCGGACACACCAACCCCGAACTGAAAATCATTAAGGTACTTGGCCATTTATTTACCCACGTCTTTCATGCCAACCTTGGAAACCAGACGTCTCCATATAGTGCCTACTGCAATTGGACGGATCTAAAAAATAGATCTCAATCAATTTTTCTCGTAATTTTCAAAAAGATCACCCTCTCACTTCCTTTCTTCCTTCTACTACCGACAGCTCCTGTCTTCGTCGATGTCCCCCCACCACCGGCTCACCGGAATCCAAGTCAGCTCCGGTGTCGCCATCCAGATCTATGATTTGTGGTCTAGATCCACCACTAGCGTCGCTTAAGATCTGTGATTTCTATTGTTAACTGCTACTAACGACGACAACCGAAACACAACCGATGACATGTGAGGCTAGGTATTCGAACTATGGCGAGCGGCGATGCCAGTTCTACAACTGTCAGTGAGTTGCAAGTCTCGATCTACGAGCCAACGAATGACAATAGCCTCCTTCCATATCTGTTTCATCTCCGATCGCCTCCATCCACTTTGTTCATCTTCGACCACCCCCCCCCCCCCCCCGGTTGTTACTCTACCATTGGTGCTCTACATATCTCATTAAAAATCGAAGATGAACATCAGTTATGGCATACAATCACTACCTAAAACTGTAAAAATCCAAAAACTACTCTAAACCTACCATCATCCAATGTCCTCTGGCGCTTTGCTATCAGGCGTTCCTCTCTACTCTCTGACCGCTCGCCACTAACCGTTCGTCGGAGAAGAAGCAAATTCAAAGCTTGTTTGTTACAGAAGATGGAGGTTTTGGCTTATCGGTGCTTTTGACAACGAACACTTTTAGAGAGATAAAAGGTAATTTTATATCCTTTTGATTTTTGTCGGTATGCATCGGAAACTAAGCAACTAAAGTATATTTATTTGCTTTCAATTGCTGTAGCCTAAGCTAAAATATATTTATTTGATTTCTTTGTTGTAGTCTAAAACCTAGTCTACTAAGTATTGTTCATATTTTATAAGAATATGATATGCCATTTTCCTTTACATTCATTTTTTCTTTTTATTTATTTTTTTTATTTTTAGCTTTATTGTACGTTTTATAATTTTAGTGTTTTATTAAGTTTTTAGCTATATTTTAAAACTTGAATTATTAATTATACATCTTTTGATGTTGATTTTTTAAGAGCATATTATTATATTATAACTAAGCCCTTTTATTCTAAAAAAATTTATAAGCCTTTGATATCTATGATGAAAATGTAATTTTGTTTCGATCATTTTTCTTGTTTGTTAAAGTGTGAATTTAGTGTTTTAATAAATCATTTTGTTGTTTGATTTTGTTAATCTTAGTTTTAACTTCCATTAAGTTGTGAATCCAAGTTTTTTTATTATTTGTTATAATATTTGCATAAAATGTTATTCAAAATAATGTTTTATGTTTGTTATGTTGTGAATTGAATTTAGAATGTGTGTTATTATGTAAGTTTTTTTTCAAATAATGTGAATTTAGTTTTTTAAACTGTGAATTGTGATGTTTTAATGTTTTAACTGTGAATGAGTGAATTAGTATGTTTTTAAATTGTGAGTACTATGAATGAGAATCTTGAATTGGTTTATTAAATTGTGAATGAGAGTCTCGAAATGCTCTATTAAACTGTGAACTCTTATGGTGTACACAAGGTGTTAGATTAAATGCTTTAACAAAATCAAGTATGTTTTTAGGCTTTGAATGTTGTGAATGGAAGTCCTAAACTGTTTTATTAAACTGTGAATTAAAGTCTTGAAATGTAAGTTTTAAGTTGAGAATATATGGTTGTGAATATATAATTTTTGTCTATTAAGTTGTGAATTTATTGTATTAAGCTGTGAATTTTGTATTATAAACTGTGAATTGACTGTATTAAGTTGTGAATTGACTGTATTAAACTATGAATTAACTGTATTAACCTGTAAATTGACTATATAAAGATGTGAATTTGTTAATACTTTTTTGTTTGCTTTTTAAATGTGAGATGAAAGAAGCATTATACACATATCTAATTTTCAATAGAGTATGTAGTATTTAACCTGTGAATATTTGTGCAAATAAACTTTGAAAGAAACACTAGCCTATAGATCTGAAGGTATAAATATAAATTTAAAGTAAAAAATATGATTGTGAATGTATAATTTTTATGTATTAAACAATTGTTTATTAAAGTAAGCTATGAATTTTGTATTCTAAGTTGTGAATTAACTGTATTAAGTTGTAAATCTTTTATGATTTTTTTGTTAAAATATGAATGATTTATATATGAACATTTGTATAAATTTTCTTGTGAATATATTTATTTTTTGTGTTGTATAAATTCGTAAAATATATTAGTTTTTATAATTATTTTGCATTAAACTTTGAGAGAGTGAATTAATAGGTTTATTAAACTATGAATATAATATTTAAGCTATAAATCCATGATTTTATATACAATTCTGATTTAAAATGAATCATGGTTACGGAAGTGGCATATGTAGTTGGTGTCAGTTTATGGTAGTTGGTGGTGGTGGTGAGTGTGTGGTAGTTTTCGGTGGTGGTAGAGTTTGGGTTTGACTTATTTGAATTTATGAATTAATGTATAATAGATTGTATTACGTTATGAATTTTATGTATTAAACTAATAATGGATTGTATTATGTTGTATATATTATATAAAATTTGTGTTAAAATACGAATAAATGTATGCATGAAAATATTAAAGTGCATATTAATGAATTAATGTCTATTAAAGTGTGCATACGGCCATGTAGGAGATTAGGAAATATGACAACAATGTCCAATAATAAGAGAAACATACATACCAAGGTAAAGCAAAGATAGATGGCAATAAAATCAATTCATGAGACATGAATTTACATGGTTCCGCAATTGGAGTAATTATATACATCAAAGACAGAGATGCACAACATGTATTCTTGATCACCATTCACCAACCAATTCAAAGAGTTGCTACAAAATCACTTATGATTGAAGAAAATAAAGTACCAACAACAGCAATGAAATCTCCAAAAGAGATATAGGAGGGTGTTTGGGAATGCTTAAAAAACAACTTTTTGACTTTTCACTTTTCAGAAAATTCAAAAAAGTACAAAAGATGTTTGTCTAAAGTTAAAAAGTTCTTTTTAAACAACTTTTGAGCAAGAGGAAAAAAGACTGATTTCAAAAGTCACAAAAACATGACTTTTGGGACTTTTGAGACTTTTGTACTTCTTAAAAAGCAATTTTTGTTTTTTTGACTTTTGGGACTTTTGAGACTTTTGTACTTCTTAAAAGCAATTTTTGTCTTTTTACCATCTAAACGCATTTTAAACCATAACTTTTGGAAAAAGACCTTTTGAGCTGAAAAAGTTATCACAAACACCCCCTAGGTGCGTATAGTATATATTAAAGTGACACTCAAATACGCTTAAATAGCCCCTGATCACCCACTACAAAATGGTTACGAACTGCAAGTCACAGTCCATGTCATCTTGAGACATCAAAGTCACTATCAAGTTTCTAAAAACCTCTAGAGACCCACTGGTCGGCACACTTTGATATGGAGTTGTCGGCACACCATGACATCAGTCATGATGTAGTCACGCTAATATTTTGTCTTACTGTAGCAACATCAACATGATGTCCAAGTCGTGATGTATGTGGTCTGGTTTGCTCGTGCGTTGATTCGTTGAAGCATATTGTGTATCACAAAAAATACAACAAAATGGATTATCAAGTGTAAAAATGAGTTGGATCTTGACTTTACCCACCTCAACGCAGAGTGGTCCAAAACAATCTTTTTTCTAAACTTAAGCAGACTCTACCCATCACCATGAAACGTGTATAGCCACAAATTATTCCAAAATGGGGCAAAAAACTCAACATCTTAAAAATATTTATATGTATATTATTCCTAGAAAAATAAACTTATTAAATATATGCGGTTTATCTATGTACATATTAATACTATAAGAAGGTTAGATTGACGATCACAATTATAAACAATATTGAGTTTTGGCGTATTGACATAAAGAAAATAAATTAACCATACGTGAAAAGCAGATAAGTTAAATAATGAAAATTTTAATGAAATATAACAAATAATGCTACTCATGTTTATTTTGAGAAGAATAACACTGAAGTTGTACAATTATGATGTTGAGGAAGTTTATTACCATATAGCTAACGCTAACATAGCCTTATTGAGTGGTGACATTCCTAATGTTAAGTGTTTCACTTTGGACTCGCGTTTACAGTAACATTAGCATATTATTTGGTAAAAGACATGACATGTAGTGTGTGTCGCATAAGAAGCTTCAAGTAAATAAACAGAAAAGGGAAATTGTATAAAACAAGTCTAAATTCAAAACTTGGCTCAAAAGATATTCAAGTATGGAAATAGCACAGGAAATACTTTATTGAACAACAACGCAGCAGTGACACAACCATAACTTATGAGAGAGAGAGAGAGAGAGAGAGAGAGAGAGAGAGAGAGAAAGTATGGAGATACATCTAATTTTTATATGGTTTTTTTTTTCAAGAAAGAAAGCCTCAGTATTCCCTGGAATAGAGATGAGAGCAGTAGACAATCAAGCTTGTAATCCAATGATACCTGCATGCAATGTCAATATGAGACAAGACCACCTTAAGGCTTAAACACAGCAAGCAATGTGATTTGTTTTCCTTTGGTTCCTCATTTAGTTAACAAGGAAAAAGTTAAAAAGAATTATTGGCTTACCACATGCAACCCTTCCACCAGCATTTCCAGTGCTTTTGCTGAGCTCATGGCCACCTGAAAGAGAATAGACACACAAATTGTCTTACATATGTATATATAATATACACATACATAATAATATAATATACAAAAAAAAAAAAAAAAATTGAAGTTTACCCTTTCCAAGATCATCAGCATCAGCATGGACAACTACAGCCCTTCCAATGATGGATTGAGATCCAATTAGTGGAATCTACATAAATCAATATTCATATATAAGTTAGATTTGTACAATTTAATTTATAGCATTAGCAACACACTTGGTACATGAACTCATGTGAGGAACCAACCTGCTTATCAACAATGGTGAATTTTGCAGTACCTGTGTTGATAAAAAAAAACATAAGAAGTTAGCAGTAGTGTCATATAATGTTTGGTGATAGAAAATTTGAAATTCAAACATGCTACAGACTTCTCAGGTCCCAGTTAATTTCAAACGCAGCCTCAAAGTTTGACTTTTTGAATAAAGTATGCAACCAATGGAAAATAGGCATAGAATAGAGTTTGACTTTTTAAATATAGTGCAAAACCAAGACTTATTCAATCTATAAAAGTCCTAATTTAAAGTAAGTATTATACCATCTTCGCCTACTGTAACATTCCCAAGATCACCAGCATGGCGAACCTCATCATCTGGAGCACCATGTTCCTTTCCATGAGGATTGTAATGAGGGCCTATCATCAAAAGAAAATGTTTCACTGTTTAGATATGTATGCTCAATAGACACAAAGTAATTAACATTTAACAAATCCCAAAAGGAAGACATTAGACATTAGACATACCAGTTGACATGCATCCATTGGTTGTGTCACCAAGTGCATGAACATGAAAACCATGGGGTCCAGGTTTAAGGCCAAAAAGGTTTCCAGTTACAGTAGTGGGAGCACCTGAAACATTAGTTAAATATTAGATAACTAAACTAATATTTTCTATTTATAATCGATAAAAAATCCAAATGTTACTCAAATTTATTACCTTCTGTCTCTTGTTCGAAGAGGATGGTGCCACTAACACCCTCACTGCTGTTAAGAACTGCAACTCCCTTCACCATTTTTATATGTGATCTAAACAATTGAATAACCAGATATTATAATCGAATCACCTACAACTTTCAGACCAGTGAGTATGTTAGACATCAAGACTCAAGAGACAACATCACAACTTTTCTTCTTAAATAAGAGCATAATGGTTAACCTTATTACTGAAAATCACAAATCCTGTTTAGTAGATTATTAGTCAAAAACCCGGTGAACAAGTAGATTAATACTCAAAAACTAAATGAGGACAGATTGGTCTTGCTTTAGAAGTACTCAGATGTTAAAGAATCTAGACACCATTTCCCTAAAGGCAACACACATCCCCTTTTCCAGCCTTCCATCCACTTCAGATTTCACTATTTTGTCCACAATACCTCCAAAATCATGAACTTATTAATATACCATCTTAACAATTTATTCCAAACCCGATCCATGACAAAACCAAGTTTTCCACTTCGTATAAACAAATTGCCCGATCATAGCTCACAAGATGAAATGATTTCCTTTACAGTATACTTATATAATCCCTTCATGGTTGTTATGTATTCGATACGTTTGCTACGTTTTTTTGTCAGATTTATTACTAGATGATCACACATACACCCCTCACGAATCGACATCACGACTTCAGAGTTAGAACTTAGAATCATGACCATATCAGTTGATCTTTACAATTGTCTATCAGATCATGATGAATCAATAAGAGAAATCACTATATATCCAAATAGCGTTAAAATCAAGCTGAAACAAAATTGAAAATGATGATGATCAAACAAGTATAATAAATTCATCGAATTTGTTTTCGATCTGTTCACGGACCAGATAAAAAGATCACACATACCGAACAACTATCTGAATCAAACAAAAGTATGGAAAAGAAAGTCGAATTTTACCTCAGATAACCCCCGCAAAGCGTCTGTAAGAGTGTGTGTGAGTAGTCGATGATACCTCGAGATAGGGCACGGTTTATAATTATATCGATTCAGCAGTACGCCATTTATGACTAGCCTTATTATATCTACCACCTACCCCGACTAACAACGCGCCCATTCCTCGAATGTACACTAAATGGAAACATGCCAAAAGAGCATTGGTGCGTGGATTACACGCTAACATAATCAGCGTTGGATTTGATGTAACTGTGCCTTTGGTGTGATTCGTTTGAGAATGTTGGGCCGGCAAGACGAAGCAAAGCCCATTTGTTTTGAAAGCCTTCATTGACCTTTCTTTTCAAATTATTATATTTTGATAATAATTTGAGTAAATTACAGGAATGATCCCTATGGTTTGGGGTAATTTGTGTGTTTGGTCTCTAACTTATTTTTTTAACTCGGAAGGTCCCTACGGTTTCTTTTTATTGCGCGTTTGGTCCCTATTGTTTGTTTTTGTTACACGTTTGGTCCCTTTCTTAATCTAAAAAGACTATTATTTAAATAGAAAAAAATGGTGGGGTAGGTAATGTAAGGTGAGGGATAGAGTTGGGGGTGTGTTTATTTAATTAAATTAAAAAAATCAAGGAAAAATTAGTCTTTTTAGGTAAGACAGGGACCAAACGTGTAACAAAAAGAAACAGTAGGGACCTTCCGAGTTAGAAAAATAAGTTAGGGACCAAGCGTGCAAATTACCCAAAACCATAAGGACCATTCGTGTAATTTACTCTTATATTTTTAGTAAATTGCTCGTAAGTTATTTAAGGTTTTTTTTAGAGAAAAATTGAGCAATCTAACCGTTTTTGAAAAATAACATTTTTTTCTTTTTGCAAAACGACCACTTGGTCCGGAATGGGTTGTTCCGGACATGATTTCAAATTTGGTTAAACGGGTAGATAATTCTGACCCGGTAATTTGGTTCTCCTATAAATACCATTTAATCCATTTCGGACTACACTTCGACATCCATTGTTTCGGACTAAACTTTGACATCCCATTTCGGACACCTCTACAACTGAAAATGTATTTCGATAGCAGTGAAGAAATGTGTAACATCTTGTTTCCTGTCATTTCTTATTTCAGGGTCGTTGGTCGGAAGTCGATTGTGTAAAGGCTCTGGGCCTTAAGGAGGTAAAGTTTAGTCCTTGTGGAAGGAGGTACTGATGGTTAAGAGATTTAACCCTTGAACTGGATATTGGGCCAAAGAGTAGAAAGGGAAAAGTCATAGACCGGGTTCTTGCATGAAATATGGATTTTTGTTTGAGAAGTTTTTAGTCCAGGATATTTATATAATATTGTGAGGCTCTTCAATACCTTTCTGTGGATATAAATATCGTCGAAAATAGATTTGGAACGAAGAAATTATAACTGTTATAAGTTAAGAAGGTTTTGGGTTAAGCCGAGTACGCTGGGCGTACAGCGTATACGTTGGGCGTACTAGGAAATGACTAATCGTGGAGGATCAACCTGGTACGTTGGGCATACCAGAAGTACGTTGGGCGTACGCGATCAGAACCCAAACTCTAGCCCCCATCCTCTCTAAACCTAATATCGAAACTCTAACCCCATTTGTGATTTTCTTGGGTTTTAAGTGCTTTGGAGTGTTCTTGGTGCATCTTGGAGAAGAATGAGCTCATTGGAGAAGTGTTGGTTGCAGTGGAGCTTGTAGATCCAGACCTTGTTCACCTTGATCTTTCTTCTAGAGGTATAAAGCTTGAATCTTGATGACGCATTTATTAGATCTAGCTAGTTTTGATGTTATGAACTTTTGGTCACTTTAGTGCATAAAGTTTAGATCTTGAAAGTTTGTGACCTTGTTATGGATAAAGTTTGAAACTTTATCCATCTAAATATCATTTTGATTCAGATTTAAAGGTTGGGAACTTGGACTTAATGGATTAGGTAAGAAAGATGCACTTTTGGTCCCTTTGAAACTTAAAAGACTAGATCTTGGTTGCTTGGACCATTCTAAAGTTGGAAACTTTTATCCATTATGGAGCTATTAGGAACCATAAAAATGTGATCTTGGTCCTTCTATCCCTTCCATACAAGAATTAAGATGTCTTAATGGATAAATAAGTTAGGGTTTTAGATTTTGGAACTTTTCTAGCCATGGAAAGTCATAAAGGTGGAAACATTATGACTTAAGTCGATGTTTTGAGTCTGGATCTGAGCTCTGGACAAAAGGTCTTAAGGGATTAAGAACTAAATGAAGGAATTATCTTGGACGTATGTACGTTGGGTGTATATAAGAGTACATTATGTGTACTGGCCCTGAATCACGTTCGTTGGGCGTACGTGGAGTACGTTGGGCGTACTCAGTTGCCTTGGACTTTGATTGTTGTTGACTTCCGTTGACCGTTGACTTTTGACCAAGTTTGACTTTGGGTCAAACTTGAGGATTTTGGACTATTGATTGAGATTTTATCTGGTTTTGGTGTTAGTAGGTTCGCGGGTGCAAGCAGTGTAGAAAAAGGGATTGTATCGCAGTGTTTCAGAGTTCTTCGATTCAGGTGAGTTTTCCTCAATATACCTATGGGTCGAAGTCACCAAGGTCATCCCATTAGATTAGATATCCTGGTTTGTTGTATGTTTTTATGTTGAGATATGTGTTCACTGGTTATGTGATTAGACTGGAAGATGTGTAGGACTACATGTATTGTTGGATATATGTTAGACTGGGAGATATGTAAGACTACCTGTGTTTGCTGATTATTGATTTTTATTGTATATTTCGACATGTTATGGTTTGTTGGGTTGAGGCGGACCAGTTGGTGCTAAAGGCCAAGATACCCAGGGCGGTCCGGATAGACTGAAGGCCTGCGAGGCAGTCCAGTCAGGTCGAAGGCCCGGAGACCAATCCAGATAGGCTGAAGGCCCGATATGGCGGTCCAGTCATGTTGAAGGCTCTTAGAGCGGTCCAGATAGTTTGTAGGCCTGCGATGCGGTCCAGTCATGATGAAGGCTCATGTATGCATGTTATTATCTATATGTTTGTATGGTGGTATTTTGGGAGAATTCACTAAGCTTCGTGCTTATAGTTTGGTTGTTACGGTTTCAGGTACTTCAGATGATCAGGGGAAAGCAAAAGTGTGATCATACACATCATTCGATAACATGTTTCTGGAAGATTTTGTGATACAATGATATTGGATATTTGTAGTTGATACTTGGTTTTGATATGGGTTTTGTTTGAAAACGATGATTTCTCTTAATTTAAAAATGAAAATTTTAACCGTGATTTTGGGGATGTTACAAGTTGGTATCAGAGCCCTGGTTTGAATGAACTGGATGAGCATTCTTGTGAATCTAGTCTCAAGCTAAGGATCTGTAAAAGTTTTCAAAATTGTTTTCTAAATTGTTTTCAAAGGTAAACAAAAGAAAGATGAGATGTGTACGATCAACCGGAGCAAGAAAGTGTACCCCAAGTCACCCACACTGTTATTTGCTTATGATGATTATGATAAAACTGCATGCTAGTAGTAGGCTGAGTATCTTCAGGAATTGCATGCTAGAATTGTTTGATGTATGATCCTTAATAGCCTAGGAGAATTTCGTGTATGCTAGATGAAATTGGCATCATTATTGTAGTTGCTTAGTGTGTGAATCATATTTTAGCTAAGATTTTATAGCCTGAGAATGTTTGATTTAGCCTTAGTACATGTTATTTCCTGATAAAGGGCTTAGGGTAGAATCAGGTGTTCGACAATCTATGAGATCTAGCGTTATGTATGATTAGCATGCATGAGTGACTGCATGGTTGGTGAAAGTTTCATGAGTGAGTACAATTGAAACATCCCAAAATACGACCCAAAAATTTTTGTTTTAATATTACTAAAAATCACATCATCGAATGTCATATGTACTAAGAACCATAGAATGAGTAACTCAAAAGTCAAGTAACTGTGTTGAAACAAATACGGTATCAATCATATCAAAATATCTGAATAAAACTCCCAGGATAAAACTGAAGTTGTGGTGTGTGCGATGCCATCATCCCGGGCTCTTCCCCTTACTAGCCGAAGTACCTGAAACCAAAAATTGAAACTGTAAGCACAAAGCTTAGTGAGCGCCCCCAAACTACCACATACCATACAATAACATATAAAGCAACTACTGGGCCTTGCCCACTGCATCGGACCGAAGTCCGGAAACTGCATCGGACCGAAGTCCGGAACTAACCAGGGCCTTGCCCTCTGCATCGGACCGAAGTCCGGAACTGACTGAACATAGCATAACATAATCATAACTACTAGCATAAACATAGATACTGCACACTGCATCGGACCGAAGCCCGGATCACATAACACAAAGACATGCTTAAATCACAAAGACATCAAGCACACTGAACTACTGCATCGGACCGAAGTCCGGAACTACTGCTAACTAAACGGGTCGGCATTTTGGCCGTAGACCCGTTCCTACTGGAAGGAAACTCACCTCGTAATGCTGGCTGCTGAGATGCTAAATCTGAAACTGTCTGACTGCTGCTCCGGAACTCCCCGGCTACAAATCCCATAAACACTAAATCAGATACTGATAACTACTCTCAGGGTAAAATGACTATTTTACCCCTGGTCAAAGTCAACATCCTGGTCAAAGTCAACTTCCTGGTCAGAGTCAACTTTCAGTTGACCAGACTCGCCGAGTTGGGCCGCCAACTCGCCGAGTCCCTATCATCCTTTCTAATCCTCTACCCGCTTCTACTCGTCGAGTTTGGCAAAGGCTCAAAGAGTTCTTCTTCGATACTAACATCTAGTTCATCTTCATCTGACTCGCCGAGTTGTATGAACAACTCGTTGAGTCCTCATTCATCCTATGAATGAGATCAGTCCTTGACTCGCCGAGTTGTATGAACAACTCGTCGAGTCCCTCCACTACTATATTTGAGCGTTAACTCACCGAGTCCATTACCTACTCACTGATTCCACCTTAAACTCTCAAATGGGAAAATCGGGGACTCGCGACTCGACTCGTCGAGTCTGAAGAAAGACTCGCCGAGTCCCATGCATGTCATTACTAATCAGTCGATTATGCTCGAATCCAGTGCATTCCATTCATAGATCTGGGCTCCTAGGGCTGGTTTTTCACGTAAAGTTTCTAACTTTACGTGCATGCATGCTAATATGAAGCTCAAATACCCAAAATAAGCTAAAGGAAGAGATCTAAGCTTGGAATGGAAACTTTGCTCAATAAAGGTGGCAACCTTGAGCTTAAGAGGCTCTGGAAAGCTTAGATCTGAAGTCCATTCAACATATTAACTCTTAATTCGACCTTAAAGTCTAGAAA